CCCCTTCCAGCGCCCAGCTTACCTCCCCGCATAGCAGTTCCTTACCTTATATGGCGGGAGCTAGCTAGGAAGAATCACACTGCTGTTCCGCAAGACCCGCTCAGTGGATTTTGGATAACACTGGGGAAGCGTGCCCAACCCATAGGAGGGAACGCTGCGGAGCCCCTGCCCGCCCGAAGGGAGGCACTGGAATACACGCATGTACTAAGTAGGGTAGTGAAACATACGGCAGTCCTTGAGGTAGTCCCAGCCCGAGGGGTGGGAGTGTACTCAGCAAGGACGACAGAACGAGTCCGTCGGAGGGAAACACGGTGCTAGCCCGGAGTATAGCTAGAACGTGGAGGAAATGGGTCACCGAAGAGACCACTGTTAAGGCCACCCAGTCTACTAACAACTCCTACGAGAGGTAGTAGACCTGGCGCCAGGCGATCCGCCTCGCCTGGCTCCGGAGGGGTGATAGAGGAACTCACGAGGTTAGCCGTTTGTTGGGGAACCAACAGAGCAAAAGACGCACGAATCCGGCCCATGGGGCGGGAACCAAACTTGCTGATCAGTGCTCTGAGTTGGCAACACTGATTCAGTCTCACGTGCTTCCACGCGTCCACTTGAAATGGATATTACGACACTCATAGATAACAACACATTTCATCCTCTGTTGAACAAGTGTGGCTAACTTCTGTCAACCTCGTCTATAAGCAAGGACAAAAATAATTAAATAAATAAATACATTTTTAAAAAATATTTTAAAATCGTTAAAAGGTGAATTGTTTTTTTTCTCCCAGCCCTAACACACACACACACATTCCTTAAAGTGTTTACAAATACATTAAGCAAACACACACACACACGTTGGGTTTCCATGTTTTATGGGAAATTTCCATAGAAATAATGATTTTTATACTGTAAAACTGTGTATTCTATCCCCTAATCCTAACTGATGTATTTTAACAATGTTGTCTATTTCATATTGTATTTATTTCTTTATCCCCGTAGGGAAATTGTGTTTGCAGCGTACACTCACAAAATATTTGGAAAATTCACATTTGACATATTATTTACAATTTGAATACATAAAAAATAATCTAATTGTAAACCTGATTAAGATATCCAGTCTGGCGTCTATTTATCTGCTACCACTAGAGGGAGGATAATTTAAAAACTTGATTGCTTGGGGAATAAAATACAATTTAAACCTATTTTTAAACATCTAGGGACACAATATCGTCTGTATGATGGTAGTAGTTCAAAAGTATATGATAGAGGGTGCCTCTTATCAATCACAATGATGTTAGCCTTTTTTAACACTCTTCCTTTGTACATACTCTCTATACTCTCTAACTTTGTTCCTAGTAATTTACTTGCTGTTACTACAACCTTCCCCAATGATCGCTTCTGGGCCTCAGTGGCACTACCATACCAGCAGATCACATAAAATGACACAATGCTTTCAATAAAAGCCCCATAAAACATCAACAATGTTCTACTATGGACATTAAAGGACAGTAATTTCTTTAAGAAGTACATTCTCCTTTGAAGCTTTTTACTTACTCAGTCAGACCATACATCCCACTTAAGTTTATTGACCAACATTACACCAAGGCATTTATAATTTGTTACTAACTGTACTTGCTCCCTGTTAATTAACGTAACACCAGGTAACTTTTGCTCTCGGGGTCCCCCTACAGTTGGGAAACAGTATTGTCCTCTAGACCTCTACTACTGTCGTAAACTCTGTTATCCTACATGCACGTGCATTTGTTGACAACCATGATAGCCCTGAACACTGTAGGAGGAGGTCACATGCAGGTGTTCTGCTTGCGTCGCATGTGAAATGTCTTCATCCCAGGTACAGTGGCATATACACTCACCGCCCACTTTATTAGGTACACCTGTCCAACTGCTCGTTAACACTTAATTTCTAAGCAGCCAATCACATGGCGGCAACTCAGTGCATTTAGGCATGTAGACATGGTCAAGACAATCTCCTGCAGTTCAAACCGAGCATCAGTATGGGGAAGAAAGTTGATTTGAGTGACTTTGAACGTGGCATGATTGTTGGTGCCAGAAGGGCTGGTCTGAGTATTTCAGAAACTGCTAATCTACTGGGATTTTCACGCACAACCATCTCTAGGGTTTACAGAGAATGGTCCGAAAAAGAAAAAACATCCAGTGAGCGGCAGTTCTGTGGGCGGAAATGCCTTGTTGATGCCAGAGGTCAGAGGAGAATGGCCAGACTGGTTCGAGCTGATAGAAGGGCAACAGTGACTGAAATAACCACTCGTTACAACCGAGGTATGCAGCAAAGCATTTGTGAAGCCACAACACGCACAACCTTGAGGCGGATGGGCTACAACAGCAGAAGACTCCACCGGGTACCACTCATCTCCACTACAAATAGGAAAAAGAGGCTACAATTTGCAAGAGCTCACCAAAATTGAACAGTTGAAGACTGGAAAAATGTTGCCTGGTCTGATGAGTCTCGATTTCTGTTGAGACATTCAGATGTTAGAGTCAGAATTTGGCGTAAACAGAATGAGAACATGGAACCATCATGCCTTGTTACCACTGTGCAGGCTGGTGGTGGTGGTGTAATGGTGTGGGGGATGTTTTCCTGGCACACTTTAGGCCCCTTAGTGCCAATTGGGCATCGTTTAAATGCCACGGCCTACCTGAGCATTGTTTCTGACCATGTCCATCCCTTTATGGCCACCATGTACCCATCCTCTGATGGCTACTTCCACCATGTCACAAAGCTCTAATCATTTCAAATTGGTTTCTTGAACATGACAATGAGTTCACTGTACTAAAATGGCCTCCACAGTCACCAGATCTCAACCCAATAGAGCATCTTTGGGATGTGGTGGAACGGGAGATTCGCATCATGGATGTGCAGCCGACAAATCTGCGGCAACTGTGTGATGCCATCATGTCAATATGGACCAAACTCCCTGAGGAATGCTTCCAGCACCTTGTTATATCTATGCCACGAAGAATTGAGGCAGTTCTGAAGGCAAAAGGGGGTCCAACCCGTTACTAGCATGGGGTACCTAATAAAGTGGCCGGTGAGTGTATTTCAGCATGTCATATGAATATAATGGGTTTTATTTTTTTTCTAACGACAAATGATCGCGATGATCACGTTTACAAGCCAGCGTCATTATAGTAGCCTAGTCTATTGGTTACCGTTTTACTGAATCTATATGATACTTCAATGCAATGTTTGAGTGGTAGATAATAACCATATATATCGTCAATATTATAATATCAAGCTACCATAAATGAATCTGCCAATTTTACAAATCGATTTGCATTATAGCTTGAGGCAAGACAAATAATCATTACCTGATTCATGAAGATAAACGGAGGATAAGATCAGTAACATAGTCAGGCAGACAAAAAAACACCCCAGCCGACGGGGTGTCATTGGTTGTTGCGTTAAATGTTACCCAGATACAATAGTGCTATTTTCTGATTGGCTAACAACACCAGACGAACAACACCAGAGGAGACGCGCTTGATTCCTGCCGGTTCCACAGTGAGAGCGGCGCGGCCAGAGTTTTGGGCACTGCGGCATATTAAATATATTACAAATAGTTTTTCAGCGTGAGAAATATAATGTGTGGCGGGAGAGCGTGACAGTCACTCATTTCGGTATTTTGTCACGCTCTCCCGCCACACATTATATTTCTCACGCTGAAAAACTATTTGTAATATATTTCACTATATTTCAATGCGTGACACTTGAGAGCCCTGCGATTTTAAGGAAGTGGGGGTGGTGTTGGAAGTGACATATATGCCGTAAAGCAGTCGAATTTTGTAGTTCTCTTTGTTCCCCGGTTACTACCCGAAACCCGAAGTTTAAAAGTACGATTAAAAATGCTACAGACCCCGTCAGGCTATGGCAGACGTGTCATTCAACCTATTGTAAGTCGATGTACCATCACAAGAGACTTGGAAATATATTATGAAGGTTGAAAAGTTACCTAGTGCTGCTTTAATGTAGAATGAGTTTCATTTGCTCTTTCTCTCTAAAGTCAATAACCATTTCCTTAGTTTTTGAAATCAAGAGCCAGTTTCCTACTGACAGTCCCACCTCTCCAGACAACCAAAGAAATTGCAAGGACCAACATTTGGAAAGATGAATGGAACCAGCTAAACCTACGAGCCCTGGACTGGATGGAGAGAGGAATCACCCCGACTGAATGTCTCGCCAGCGGGCATGACCTCCCATGGCTAACCTGGAAGACCCTCAACAGATTACGAGTGGAACAGGGGAGGTGCAATGCACTTATGAAAACATGGAACCACCAGACAGATGACACATGTAGCTGCGGAGCAGTACAGACAATGCCCCATCTACTGGAGTGTAAAAACGCCCCTCAGTGCAGCGCCCAGGAGCTGGCTGAACCGACCACATCAGCTGTGATCTGCGCCAGATATTGGCAGAACGACATTTGAGATTGCAACGGACTCGAAGAAGAAGAAGTTTTTGAAATATTTAAATAAAGATTTGAGTTTTCACACCAATTTAAAAAGAAGTCCAGAACAGGCCCATGTTCTTCTCCCAATCGTTTAAAAGCCTCACTAAAGCAGTATCATCTGCTTACTTTACAATATGTCTATTTTTGAAGGAACTCACACAATAATTTGTATATATAATAAATAATAACGGAGATAAAACACATCCTTGGGGAGCTCCGACTGAGGTAATCAATTTGTCTGAAATGGACCCTATTTTAATCTGCTGAGTTCTAGAACTTAGAAAGTTTATCACCCAAGCAAGTGTCCTACTATCCATAAAAAGTTCTTTGGCCAAGGTGGCAACTAAAATACTAGGAGAAATACAGTTAAAAGCTGATGAGAAATCCACAAACAAAGTTTTTGCATGAGTATTTTGTATATTTATTATTTTATATATTTCATATTGACAGCATTGTTGTTATTTTATTGTTATGTTTATCTCTGGATATAGGCCTAATGTGTGTCATTGTTCTCTACAGGTTGAGGGATTGTGGAGTCACAGATGAAGGTTGTGTTGCTCTGGCTTCAGCTCTGAGATCAAACCCCTCACACCTGAGATCTCTGGATCTGTCTAAGAATAAACCAGGAGACTCAGGAGTGAAGCTGTTCTCTGCTGTACTGGAGGATCCTCACTGTAAACTGGAGATACTGTGGTAAGATCATCTCTACCATAAAGACTCGGAGTGAATAAGTATTAATATGTACAATATGTGTTTGGCGTAAACCCCATCTGGGGGTTCAGCGAGATTCCTGCTTGAACCATCAGATCTTGCCGGCGGTAGAAGACAGCAGTGAGAAGTTTCCCTGAAGAGGAACATTTACATCTTTATATATTATCATCCCCAAAAGACAGTAAAACTAACAGTTAAATAAACCGGACGAACTGCAAACCAGACAACAGATGCAGGTCACAGTGAAGAGGATTTTTAAAGCACAAATGTTTGGTGTAAATCAACTTGCCTTGTAATGCTTGTGCAAACAGACCCTTGCAAAAGCGTAAGCATTGCCTCAAAATGTGTGTCTGCACACATTATACACTCACCTAATGTCAGGTTGCTGTAGGCTGCTGAAGACGAGGACACGGAATCTGCGATATAGGTATTTATTTACAAACTTAACTTCTATAAACATACAAGAACAAAGGAAAAGAAACTCCAGGACTTCAAAAAACACACAACCGTACATGGACGACGACCAACAAACACTGAGGGAAAACACAGGGCTTAAATGAACAGGGACTAATGGGATGATTAACAGAAAACAGGTGAAGGGAATTACTAATCAGACATAGCGGGAAAAACTAACAGGACTGAACCAAAAGTCACAAAAGACGGGGGAAACAAGATCTCAAGACAGAACTAAACACATTGAAACCGTGACAGTACCCCCCCCCCTCTCCGAAAGGCGCGACCTCGCGCCGTACAACATCCAAAGGGGTGGGAGGTTGGGCGCCCTGGAGGCTGACGAGGGCACGGTGATGCAGGGACGGGAAGCCTCCAGGGCGGAGCTGGTAGCTTGGGGAACCGGGGTGGAACCGGCTGTGGACGTGGCCATGGCGGAGCGGGCTGTGGTCGTGGCCAGGGCGGTGCAGGCTGTGGGCGTGGCCACGGCGGAGCTGTCGGACCCTCGGGCGTCCAGGGCGGAGCTGTCGGACCCTCGGGCGTCCAGGGCGGAGCTGGATGTGGGCGTGGCCACGGCGGAGCTGGACGTGGGCGTGGCTAGGGCGGAGCAGGACGTGGGCGTGGCCAGGGTTGAGCAGACGAACCCTCGGGCGTCCAGGGTGGAGCTGTCGGACCCTCGGGCGTCCAGGGCGGAGCTGTCGGACCCTCGGACGTCCAGGGCGGTGATGACCCTTCGGACGGCCACGGTGGTGAAGACCCTTCAGGCGGCCACGGTGGTGAAGACCCTTCAGGCGGCCACGGTGGTGAAGACCCTTCAGGCGGCCACGGTGGTGAAGATCCCTCAGGCGGCCACGGTGGTGAAGACCCTTCAGGCGGCCACGGTGGTGAAGACCCTTCGGGTGGGCGCCCCCCCAAAATTTTAATGGGAAAATTGACAAGACAGGGGGGATCCGGCAGCAACGAGAGTCTTGGGCTGGGCAGGACCAGCGGTGACGAGGACTTTGAACTAAGCAGGACCAGTGGCAAAGGAAACTCTGGGCTGGACAGGACTGGCGCAGGATCAGTGGGCTCTAGCGCAGGATCAGCGGGCTCTGGCGCAGGATCAGCGGGCTCTGGCGCAGGATCAGCGGGCTCTGGCGCAGGATCAGCGGGCTCTGGCGCAAGATCAGCGGGCTCTGGCGCAGGATCAGCGGGCTCTGGCGCAGGATCAGCGGGCTCTGGCGCAGGATCAGCGGGCTCTGGCTCTGGCGGGCAGGTGACGGGCTCAGGCTCTGGCGGGCAGGCGACGGGCTCAGGCTCTGGTGGGCAGGCGACGGGCTCAGGCTCTGGCGGGCAGGCGACGGGCTCAGGCTCTGGCGGGCAGGCGACGGGCTCAGGCTCTGGAGGGCAGGCGACGGGCTCAGGCTCTGGCGGGCAGGCGACGGGCTCAGGCTCTGGCGGGCAGGCGACGGGCTCGGATTGGCTGGACGGAACCAGCGGTGCAGGCTTGGCTGGGCTGGACGGAACCAGCGGTGCGGGCTTGGCTGGGCTGGACGGAACCAGCGGTGAGGGCTTGGCTGGGCTGGACAGAACCAGCGGTGCGGCCTTGGCTGGGCTGGACGGAACCAGCGGTGAGGGCTTGGCTGGGCTGGACGGAACCAGCGGTGCGGGCGTGGCTGGGCTGGACGGAACCAGCGGCGAAGGAAACTCTGGCACTTCGGGACCGATGAGAGGAGGAAGATCGGTGAAGTCATCAAACTCGGAATTAACCTTAACTGTGCAGGGAAGCTCAGGCTCGGCAGGCGTGCAGGGAAGCTCAGGCTCGGTCATCACCAACCCAGGGTCGAAAAGAGGCCAGAATATAGAGTGGTGTCGGGCTTCCACTCGACCATCTCCTCCACTGCGGCCTCCACGGGTCCCACGAAATATGGCCAAACGGGTCCCCGCAAATGGATGTCCTCTCTCCCGCTCGGTCATCTTCGGTTTCCTTACTTCTTTAGTAAGGGTTGGTCGTTCTGTCAGGTTGCTGTAGGCTGCTGAAGACGAGGACACGGAATCTGCGATATAGGTATTTATTTACAAACTTAACTTCTATAAACATACAAGAACAAAGGAAAAGAAACTCCAGGACTTCAAAAAACACACAACCGTACATGGACGACGACCAACAAACACTGAGGGAAAACACAGGGCTTAAATGAACAGGGACTAATGGGATGATTAACAGAACACAGGTGAAGGGAATTACTAATCAGACATAGCGGGAAAAACTAACAGGACTGAACCAAAAGTCACAAAAGACGGGGGAAACAAGATCTCAAGACAGAACTAAACACATTGAAACCGTGACACCTAAAGGATTATTATGAACACCATACTAACACTGTGTTTGACCCCCTTTCGCCTTCATAACTGCCTTAATTCTACGTGGCATTGATTCAACAAGGTGCTGAAAGCATTCTTTAGAAATGTTGGCCCATACTGATAGGATAGCATCTTGCAGTTGATGGAGATTTGTGGGATGCACATCCAGGGCACGAAGCTCCCGTTCCACCACATCCCAAAGATGCTCTATTGGGTTGAGATCTGGTGACTGTGGGGGCCATTTTAGTACAGTGAACTCATTGTCATGTTCAAGAAACCAATTTGAAATGATTCGAGCTTTGTGACATGGTGCATTATCCTGCTGGAAGTAGCCATCAGAGGATGGGTACATGGTGGCCATAAAGGGATGGACATGGTCAGAAACAATGCTCAGGTAGGCCGTGGCATTTAAACGATGCCCAATTGGCACTAAGGGGCTTAAAGTGTGCCAAGAAAACATCCCCCACACCATTACACCACCACCAGCAGCCTGCACAGTGGTAACAAGGCATGATGGATCCATGTTCTCATTCTGTTTACGCCAAATTCTGACTCTACCATCTGAATGTCTCAGCAGAAATCGAGACTCATCAGACCAGGCAACATTTTTCCAGTCTTCAACTGTCCAATTTTGGTGAGCTCTTGCAAATTGTAGCCTCTTTTTCCTATTTGTAGTGGAGATGAGTGGTACCCAGTGGGGTCTTCTGCTGTTGTAGCCCATCCGCCTCAAGGTTGTGCGTGTTGTGGCTTCACAAATGCTTTGCTGCACACCTCGGTTGTAACGAGTGGTTATTTTAGTCAAAGTTGCTCTTCTATCAGCTTGAATCAGTCGGCCCATTCTCCTCTGACCTCTAGCATCAACAAGGCATTTTCGCCCACAGGACTGTCGCATACTGGATGTTTTTCCCCTTTCACGCCATTCTTTGTAAACCCTAGAAATGGTTGTGCGTGAAAATCCCAGTAACTGAGCAGATTGTGAAATACTCAGACCGGCCTGTCTGGCACCAACAACCATGCCACGCTCAAAATTGCTTAAATCACCTTTCTTTCCCATTCTGACATTCAGTTTGGAGTTCAGGAGATTGTCTTGACCAGGACCACACCCCTAAATGCATTGAAGCAACTGCCATGTGATTGGTTGATTATATAATTGCATTAATGAGAAATTTTAAAAGGTGTTCCTAATAATCCTTTAGGTGAGTGTATATTATTAGTATATATGTGTGTGTGCAGCTGAAAAGAGGGAAGTGGTGTGTGTTTCACCTGAACCAGGACTGTCATCATATCAGATTTATCACTACATGATGATCATGGCCAAAATAACACACAATAACAATATATCACCATATCTATAGAAATATTGAAAATAATAATAATAATGCTATCAGTCAAATTCATCTTTACTTTGATTATTATGTGTTATTTTTGTAAAAGAAGAATCACACCATCGCATAAAAAAGGAACAATTACACAATGCAACCAGTTTGAAATAATGGTAACACTTTATCACAAGTGTACAGTAACAAAGCGCTTATAAATAAGTTGCAAACTATTAGTCTATAGTTAATGTATAGTATATAATAGTGTATAAGCTCTAGTTAATATATTAAGAGACTATATACAAGTAGTGAGTTCTTCACTGTTACTGTAATTAACAAAGTGTTATTGTTTAATCTTATGTAAAAAGTTAGATAATGCTTTAACAACTTATTAACCATGAATAGTTCTCATTTTAGATTAAGTCACGGAAAATCAGAAAATGTCATTAAGTGCTTTAATACAGCCTTTATTTGTTTTATTTTTCTTAACATTAAACTATGGGGAAAAGTCATACACTTATACAGACTGTACATGATGTATAAGATGAGTCATATTTACAAAAACAATTAATCACATCTTTCTGAGTTTTATTTCAGAAGCATCATACAATACTACATTCTCTTGAATAAATAATTCAATAACAATTTTTTTTTAACAGTCACTTGTCACCACCTAGTGCCAAAACAATGTAATTGATAAATGCATTATTTTTAGTGCCAAGTTTCCATCAAAAGCTGATTTACTCTATTGTGATCACTACCGTAGACACCAGTGTTTATATTTGAACTTTAAACTTTTTTCCCAGTACTTCTATGGTAATTTAAAAAAATTGTGTGCTATCAAAGTGTGAATTACGAGGAGTTGTATCTTCGTGAATATGTATCTTCATACTTACTTGTAGCCTAAATCTTAATATACAGCCTTGGTTTGATTTTTGATTCATACCAAGATGAAATTAGCCAGAACACTTGTGTTTAAAATGCATATATAGACCTTATGCGCCAGAGAAACAAGCGCGCAGCCATCTTTAGAATATTGTCTTTGAACTTCTGTCGAGGAGTAATTAGCTGGTGAAGTGGATCTACTTATTGTAAAGTTAACAAAAGTTATCATGAGGATTGTAATGTTTAAAACAGATGTCTTAACAAATGTCAGTAGACCAGGAAGATTTTAAACGAGCCGTTCATTCAAAAATACGCATGGTCACTGTGAAAATACAGACCGGAAGACAAAAGACAACGAGCGCAGCGCTGAAAAGGGACTGGGCTACTTAAGGTCTATAGCCTAGTTGAAACCTTGCCCTATTTGGCTTGCTGTTAATGCTGTTAAACTGAATGAACGAGGCAAACTGTCTGCTTAAATAACAGCACTGAAATAAGCATGCGCTGTTTATCTTTTAATCAGTTAGGGACCATCGACATATGACGCGTTTTTGCGGTTAAAATGCGAGATGCATGTCAGTGCAGGTCTAGACAGAGAGAGCGTTTTTTAAAAGTTATTTTAACTAGAGTGCCATTAAGAAACCCACATCATACACGATACTCTGCAAAAGTATGGAAGCGAGATGAGCGCGCAACAGTCAATCACATCTAGGGTGATGTTTACATTAAAAACGATGGAAAAGTAGTGCAATGGAATTATTTAATTGCCCCTTTCCACACAATCCAAGTTGCTTTCATTGCTATAGTAACATTAGGCTTCCGTTTTCTTTCCAAATTATCACTGTAGACAGTAGAAAAGAAATGGTCATGTCATGGAGAGGTGTGTTATAAAATGTTAATATATAAATACATATAGATTAATTTATTATTTTTTTCATAAAATATATAATTTAAATATAGTTATTAAGAGTATCTAGGCATATCTGTCTATCTATGTATCTATCTATCTATCTTACCCGCATTATACAAAGTAAAAAAGCCCACCCAGGATACACACCCTTACACACACACAAACACACATTCCTTAAAATGTTTACAAAAACACTAAGCACACACACACACGTTACTGTTTTATGGGGACTTTCCATAGAAATAATGATTTTTATACTGTACTAACTGTATATTCAATCCCCTAATCCTTACTGATGTATTTTAACAACATGAATTTATGAGTATTTTTATATATTTCATATTGACAATTATTATGTTATTTACTTAAGTGGTATGTTAATCTCTGGATATAGGCTTAACCCTCTGAGGACCAAGGGGTTTTTGGGGTCCTTGAGGTGTTCTGACATGCTCTGACTGCTTTTTTCAGTTATTTATAAACATGTTAATGGCAAAGGTGTAAATTCACTCTATATAGCACAAACAGGGCTACCGTAATATGTGAGCAACATGTATGTACATGTTTGCATTTTTTATAGAATAATGTTTATGCATGGTTATTGAAAAAAACTAAAACTTAAAGTGTCTGAAATAAGGCCACAAAACACATACTAAATATGTGTCCACAAGACTTTTGACTAATGAGTGTTGTTGCCTAGAATTTTTGCTTCAAAATGATCTGAAAATCATCCTGCCAAATCATTTACACAAAACAATACATTGATTTAAATTTTATGAGACACCTTTTGTTTGGTAAGGCAATATGCGTGGAGGCGTGTTCACACCTGAGAAGACAAAGCCCGGATAATGTGCCACATACATAATGAGCTGCATATTAATTAGCCCTTTCACACAGGTGTGTCACAGGATCCCAAAGAATGCAAGGACAAAAGAAATTATCTATATGTACATATTTTACAATTAGAAATTGTAACCAATTATAAATAGGTTACAATTACAACAACAATTACAATTTTAACAATATTTCAAGTGTATTTCTTTGGAAAAACCATACATTTTATCATACGTATTAAAAAAGGTAAGGATTCATTAGTTTGAATATTGGAACAAACACTATAATAACATCTTAGTTGATAATTCAATATACCTACTTTATTTTTGACAAAACATCATACTATAGTATATTTAACTATGAGCAGAAATTGGTGAACAAAAGCATACCTATTTAATGTGACAGTAGTCTTTTTTTACAGTAAAAACTTTATAATCTATCCAAAACTAATCACAAAATCTTGTCTAAACATTCATATTTAGTCTGTAACATATTGTGTATGATATATTAGCATATACATGTGAATTTGTAGTTTGTTGCTTATACAGACATTTTATTTCAACAAATTTCAGTCTATTTTTACTCATCTTAGTAGGCTATAGCAATATAGTTTGGATGTGTTCATGTAAATTTAATAACATGTTTACTAATGCAGATTAGCATATACATGTGTGATATTGAATGAACGCCTGTGCCGTTCATTCAATATCGAGTGAAGGAACGGCACAGACACGCGCTGTATAACTGTAGTAAACAAAGCGCGCGCCTGTGCCGTTCATTCATCATTTAGCCTACACACAGACACGCAATTCATATTTAAACAGTCTTTTTGCGGTTTATAGACACTATTCAATATCGCGATTAGAACAAAGCACCTACGAATAAATGACTTACTACATCAGCTGGATCCGTTGCTCCTTGAAATGAAACTACCAGCACTTATGGTACATTTTCCAGGGTTATTAGATAGTATTATTCCTCACAGCGTAGGGATTCGCTGTGTTCACAGTGGTAGTAAGAAACTTACTAAACATGATTTTATAATCCAGCTGGTGGGCGTTGGCATGTTTGAATGGCTTGCCTTAGATCATTTGCGTTTGAATACCGCGCGCTCTCCGTGGGCGTGGCACATTAACGCGTAATGAGGTATAATGAGCTGGAAAGAAAAAGACTGACATCTCTCTCTTTTCATACAGATTACATAAACTGAGAATATTTGGGGGTTTTATATAAATTAATTCATTTAAAAGAAGAGAGTTCAAGCTTCATTATGGAAAAACACTCGTGCCTGTATGACAAGTATTCGCGGAATTACAGTTAATTTTCGGACGCGTTTCAGAATGGACTTAGCTGACAGAGAGAAGGCAGAACGCGCATCATGTTTGTTTTTCTTTATTTGGCGAAAAGCACAACACTTTGTTTTTATTGTGAGTATCCACAAAAAAAATAGACACTTATCAGGATCTAATGATGTACAACACTTAATATGTAAGATCAAAATCAACAGAGTATTTTGAGTTTCTTTTGCACTGATAAGAAAAAAAGTGAGCTGGTATCGCCGGCGATACCGCCGACCCCAGAGGGTTAATGTGTGTCATTGTTCTCTACAGGTTGAGTGATTGTGGAGTCACAGATGAAGGTTGTGTTGCTCTGGCTTCAGCTCTGAGATCAAACCCCTCACACCTGAGACATCTGGATCTGTCTGACAATAAACTAGGAGACTCAGGAGTGAAGCTGTTCTCTGCTGTACGGGAGGATCCTCACTGCAAACTGGAGACACTGACGTAAGATCACCTCTACCATAAAGCAGGGTCCCCGCAGATCCTTAAAAAGTCTTAAATTACATTTTTAAAATTTAAGGCCATAAAAAGTCTTTAAAAGTCTTATTTTTACGTATGAAAGGTCTTACATTTTTGATGACACTGTGACTTAGTTTTAATTAAGAAAGCATTTAGATGCGTCTATCTAATTAGCATATATATTCTTTTTTATTATTCTATCTTTGCTTGTTCACGTGACAATTTGCGTCATTCGCGGCAGCATATTAGCCTATGTCTGTCTCCTGCACGCGAGAGGAGGAAGAAGAACGTTATTACATGTCAGTTCAATTGTAAGTTCATTCTTTATGTGCTTAGGAATGTGTGATATGTATCGTCTATGATGATATTGTAATAATTTTTTTAACGATATACGAGGCACTGCGAGCTGACATCGCCTTTGTCTCTCATGCTTGCTTTCACTGCGTGATGTGTGCAGTTATAGGTATGTCCCGAAATAAGTTTTTTGTGTATCATATTATGTTGTTATTAAAATATCACATGACAATCAGTGTTACAGTTACAGTGATTGTCCTTATAAGCAAGGACAAAAAGAAAGCAATTTAATTTGAATCGTTATTAATTCTGGAATAAAAAAAATCTCATTTAAAATCGTAAACAAAAAGAATTACGATTTTTTTCTCCCAGCTTTAACACACACACAAATATTCCTTAACCCTCTGGGGTTCTTCGGACCAAATGGACCCGAAGAATTTAAATAAAAAAATGTGTAAAATCATAGCTTCATCGGAATGGTCCGAAATTTGGTGACTTTGTTGGTACTTGGTATATGAACACCCAAAAAAATTGGGGACAGGATTTGAATAGTCTAAGTGGTTGTAAAAAAAATGGTCACACTCAGGGTCTTCGGGTCCAAATGGACCCGCCATAGGAAATGAATGGGAAATTGACAAAAATGTGACAATACAGAGTTGTTTTGTGCGTACAATCAACAAATCAGCCACGATCCAGAAAAAAAGCACACAACAGTGAAGGGGTGAATCTATAAAACATCAAGAGTGCAAAACAGACACATCCACACACACACACACACACACACACACACACACACACACACACACACACACACACACACACACACACACACACACACACACACACAGAGAGAAACATGATTCACATTTAAACAGTATGCTATTTTTCCGTTTACAGACACTAACCTTATTCTATATCGCCAAAGCACAAGAACAAAGCACAAGAATAAAACACTTACACTTCTCAGCTGGATACTCATCGCTCCTCGAAGTGAAAATAAACCAGCACTTGTTCTGTGGTAAATGTCCCAGGATTATTCCTCATAGCCGCGCAAGACGAATCTTAATCTGACTAAAAATATAGTGTGTTTACAGAGTTTAGCCTATATGGGCGTTAACGCGTCTCAATGTGTTGCTTGCACATATTGCGTTTGAATAGCGCGTGCTCTCCGTGGGAGTGTCACATTACCAGAGATAATGAGCTGAGAGAAATATATATTGCTCATGGCTGGGTGAATAGTATTCGATGAGTTTTGTTTAAGTTTAGAGACGTGCTCCAGAAAAAAGTTCACGGAGACGGAGAGGCAGAACGCACACCCTGTATATTCTCTTTATTTTACAAAAGCACAATATTTTATTTCGATTGTTTGTGGGCACATACAAAAGTAGACATTTAACAGTTTATTTTCTCATATTTCTTAACTCTATATGACCAGAAATGATGGTAGTACTTTAAGTCTATTTGTCTGCTATGTGAAAAAAAACTAGCAAAATGCACGGGTGCGTTCTTGGTCCCCAGAGGGTTAAACAAAAGCTCGGTGGCGGACGGTAATGCATCTTGCATCACTCAGCTTGTTTGCCAACTGCCAATAAAAACTAACGAAGAAGAATATAAATCTTCTTCGTCGTTGTCATCAGGGGCTGGCCGCTGGCGGGCTGTTGTATGTTTCACCGGCGTAGTAGTGAGCTTACTGGTTAACCGGCTGAAGTTATTATGGACATAACAAAGTTTTTTATATGGAACATTAACAGTAAACCTCACCAAAATAGTGCATTTAGCTGATGTAAATGGGAAAAAAATCTCCCCGGGGGTGTATGCCCCTGGACCCCCCTAGGTTTGGGCTAAACCCCAAATGTTTACATCGTCTGGCTTCACCCCTGATCTCAGACAAAAAAATATTCACACATACGCACACGCACGCACGTGTAGTTACTGAAAAATCGTTAAAAACTATTTTTTACCATAATGTCTTCAGTTCATATTGTGGGTCATCCTTCAGATCCTTTAACAGCTTCACTCCAGAGTCTCCTAGTTTATTCTCAGACAGATGCAGTTTACATTTATCATTTACTTTGTAACACCCTTACAAAACCAGCAAAACCTTCATCTGTGACATCAAAATCATCCAACCTGTAAAGAACAATGACACACATTAAGCCTATATCCAGAGATAAACATAACACTTAAACAATAAATAGCATAATGCTGTCAATATGAAAAATATACAAATACTCATCAGTTTATATTGTTAAATTACATCAACTGAATATAGGCCTACAGTTTGTACAGTATAAAAATAATTATTTCTACAAGTACCCATAAAACATGGAAACCCAACGTGTGTGTGTGTTTAATGTCTTTGTAAACATTTTAACCCTCTGGGGTCCTTCATTTCAGGGTCACACTCAGGGTCTTCGGGACCAAAAGGTCCGGAAGGGTTTGATTCATATTTATTAAAAGAAAATCATATATTTTTTTTTTTACTTGTTTTTTATAAAAAAATTTCTTTTATTTTTTGGTGTTTTGAGAAAATTTTATGATTTATAATTAATATTTATGCAATAATTATGACCCATTTTTTCCCATTGAATATAATATAATTTTTTTATAAATATCTTTTATTTTATTTTATTTTTTTAAAGCTGTATTTCATTTTAGAGTCAAGCCTAGGCCTCATGAAAACAATTTTTGAAATGAGATGGATGCCATCTGCTGGACACACTGAGCATTTTTATCACGCAATAGCACATTTTTACCACTAGTGGATTTACAGCTCTCTGTAGAAAGGGTTCAGAATTCTTGTGAGTTTTGCCAATCTTTGACAATATTTTTCAGGTTGTTGATTTTAAAATATAATAACAGATTCTCAAAGACTATTTTTGTCTTGTTTTTTGTTTGTTTGTTTGGTTTAAATGGTAATTTGAAGTGCCAGTTTTACTTTATAATACAGATTATTATAAATATATAATACAGTGTGTGTGTGTGTGTGTGTGTGTGTGTGTGTGTGTGTGTGTGTGTATGTGTGTGTGTCTGTTTTGCACTCTTGATGTTTTAGAGATTCACCCCTTCACTGTTGAGTCCTTTTTTCTGCATCCTGGCTGATTTGTAGATTGTATGCAAAAAAAAAAAACTCTGACAATTTCCCATTCATTTCCTATGGGGGTCATTTTTGACCAAAGAGCAGAAGTGTGACGACCACTTAGCATGCTTGGATAATGACCTCAATATTTTTTGTTTGTTCACATACCTAATACCATAAAAGTCACCTAGTTTCGTAACATTCCGATGAAGCTGTGATTTTTAAAAATTCAAAACATATTTATGTAATCTGAATTTATTAGTGTGTTTGTGTATAAAAGTGTGTGTGTGTGTGTGTGTGTGTGTGTGTGTGTGTGTGTGTGAGTGAGTGAGAATGAATGAATGAATGAACGCACATACCGTAAAACTTCAAATAATAGCCCGGGCTTTTATTTTCCCAAATCGTTGAACTGCACCGGCTTGTATTTGAGACAGGCGTCTATATGAGACTGGCCTTTATAATTTAATGTTGAGATGTTGTTCATTGAGTGTAGGCCTAGCTAGAGTCTCTAAAAAATCTCCAAATGCTCCACGTGAAACTGCGGTCTTCCGACCTTTTACTATCGTGTCCACTGTGACTGTCCATTGACTTTGATTAATATGCGCGAGGAGGGAGAGAGAGCAAGACAGCGCTCATGTTTGAAGACGTGAAAGTGCGCGCGCGCGGCCGGGGCGCACTCTCTCTCTCTCTCTCTCTCTCTCTCTCTCTCTCTCTCTCTCTCTCTCTCTCTCTCTCTCTCTCTCTCTCTCTCTCTCTCTCTCTCTCTCAGGGCTGCGTTCAGCGCCGACAAAACGTTGCAGAACGTTTTTTAAACAGAAACGGTGATGCGTTGAACGCACTGTTGTGATGACGCAAGAGTTGCAACTACGGCAGCTGAGAAGGCTTTTGTGTTCTTTGTGAAGAATTTTTGGAGCCTGATTAAGTCGGTATTTATGTTTAATACTACAAAATATGCCCGATGTTACAGTTACTGCACTTGCCGCCCAGAACACAAGAGAACATCCCAATCGAGTGAAGGGATTTGTGGAAACTGAAATGGAAGCACATCTTACCTAATAAAGACTAAAACACATCTATTTAGCCTCACATACTGACTTTATTTGTTGTTCATACTGTTTTATTAATACCCTGTATTTTCTTTCTCATTTTTAGGAAAAGCACTTTACATGAATTGTTTATTTCTATAGCCTACCAAATGTCACACACTTGCAATGAAGCTAAAAATATAACTACATCATTATGTTGATATCCTATATTTTTGCAATAATACTTACGACAAACATGTCTTCTAATATCCTCAGTTGTTGCGTATCAAACACATTTGTAAATTACTTCCATTGTGCGAGTTCTCTTTAATACCGTGTGCTTTTTACACATGTTGCTGCTGATTGGACTGCAGTTCTGACACGCCCACCAAACAAGAGAAAACGCATCTCAAACCCCGGTGCACACCGGTGCACGCCGTTTCCAGGAAACATGACGTTCAACACGGAAACCGTAGCAAGTTATAATCCCAATATACAAATCTGGAGGTAAAAATGAAATAAGCAACTACAGGCCTATTAGCATAATGCCTGTAGCATCTAAAATTCTCGAGGAAGCCATTATAGAGCAGC